ATGTTTGGTACTTGATAAGTGCATTTTAGGGGCCACAAAAAGATAAAAAGGTCTGTTATATTGAAGGACGTGGAATGGAAATGAATGGAAGTTTTCACTTGCCAATTTTAGTAAGTAGCACTGATATCCACCCAAGAGCGACAAGAAACTATTTTTGACTCCTCACAATCAAATTGAAATAAAGTAAAGGGTCAATTAGCACTAATCTCCAATGTAATTAGGGATAAGTTACACTTTGCCCACTTGAGTTTATTTTATTATCACTAAACAAAAACACACCTCTCTTTTTAAGACTAGCTATTTTACTTCTTGGTTCAAAATGAGACACATATAGTGATAGTCTCCTCAGTTTCTCAAGAATTAGGCTTGTGATCTCAAGTTAATCGAACTTTTATTTTCTGAACGAGATAATAATCATTAAATTCTTGAAACTTCTACTCCCTTTGTTTGATTATTAATATCATTTTTTTACTTTTTTGCTGTTCCAAAATAAGAGTTTCGTTGCAAAAGTCAAACAACTTTCAACGCTGTTTTCCTATTACACCCTTCACTAATCTAACACGGGCGGACGATCAAATTTGACGTGGCTGGAGGCCCTTCATGCTTATTGTACATGATGATTAATGATAAGATTTCAGCAATTAACAATAAACAATTCCATATAACCCACCAAAACACATCCACGCTTTCCCAAGGCCTATGACCACTTGTCTTCAAGGTGGCTGGACTCCAGATTCAAACATGGATAAGGCCAGAAGAACTGGGAAATTGTAGCCCATAATTTTACTGTGCATAAAAAGTGCTACTCCTGAAAAATGTCCCAATTTTGAAGATAGAGGGAGAATTAATTCACTTTGTTTAATTTGTAAATATCATTAAGAATCAAGACCTTAAACTTTACATAACCGAAAATGTTGAGTCTGATGTTATGGGGGATTAGTATGCGATCCCCATTCTACGTCCTAGTATGTTTGAAAAAATGGTTATCGAGTTCGAGATCTTTTCCTGACACTTAAAGAAAGAAATAATTTTTTGGGAGGAGAGAAAGGGATAGGGTGGTATGGGGAGAGAAAATACAAGTGAGAAGTCCTAAATTCGATACCTTCTATAAACATTTAAAAAAAAAACCTTGAACAATGCTTTTTTTTTTTTTAAATCCTATCACAGAAGGAGGCATTAATACAAATTCCTGTTTCTGTTAAATTGTTTGACTAAGGAAGCTGAGAAAGAGTAACTTGAATGGATCTAAGAGGTCTCAATTATTATTAGGTCTAATTGCTTGAGACTATTTATGGCGAAGATTAATCTTGACATTCATCACAACCCAAGTCCATGCTGAAATTGTACATTGATTGTGTCAAAGGTGTACATGAATTACCCCGTGCATGACCCACAATTCGTGTTGTGGTAGGAAATGGATTGCTGGCAAATTTGAGTAATTAAATTTTGTATGCCAAAGTCAATTAATTGCAAATTAAGTAAATGGTTCTTGTATATGAATCATATATTACCACAAGAACTTTGAGGCGCATGTAAGTTGTTATAGGGCACTAGGAGTGTGGACTGCCGCATGTTGATACCTTGCAGCCCTACATTTCACCAAAAGGCAAGACAAGTAGTATCGTCCAAATGGAGATCCGCCATACGTAGAGGTGGCAAATCAACCCATTTAACCAAATTTACCCATACCCGTCCATGAATAGATGAGTATGTGTATCTTAAATTTTTGTATATGGGTATAAATGGGTTACCCAATAATACTCATTTATTAAATGGGTATTATTGGGTAACCCATCAAACCCAATTAACCCATTTAGAATTCTCTTCCCCTAAATCTCTTTTTTTTTCCCACCCATTTTTTTTTCAAATTTTTCATTTTGTCGTGATGTTATCTACTTTTGTTTCATTATTATTATTATTTGTTGGTTTTATTTTATTATTTTATTTTTTCTTAGTTTGTTAACTTGCTCATTTTTCGGCATTACCAATTTATGATAAATTTGAGCCTCTTTTCTTATCTTTCTAAAATGAAATTTTAAATTTATATATGGAAAAAATGTTAGGGGTTCAAAATTTTTGGATTAAATTTTTATATTAACTTTTATAGTACTTAGTTCAAATTTTTATATTCTTATTATTCAATTATTAAATAATATGTAATTTTGTGAAATAGAGTATAAATGAAAAAAATTGGTAATTAGGCTTATTGAACATTATAAGTAAATATTTAAAACTAATGATGGGTACAAAGAGCGGTATAAATTGATAACTTAGTTTGCAAAAATGAATTTAAATGAATTTACAAAAAATTAAAATAAATGGGTTATAAATGGGTAATTGGGTTACCCAATTCATTTTTTGACTTACCCATTTAATTAAATGGGTTGACTCACTTATACCCATTACCCATTTTACCCAACCCAAACCCATTCAAGTCACCCATTTTGACACCTCTAGCCATACACACACTCACACACGCAGAATATTGCAGCCAAAACTTAAAACACATTTCATGAAGTCAAAAGGTAAGGACACAGAAATTGATCTCATCTATTATCTACCTAATAGTAGGACGAGTATTTCTTTTAAGATGTTCGCAATGAGCAGGTCGGTTTAATCTAGAAACTGAGTATCTTATACTAACCAGTACCAACTACTGCTACTACTCTAAAGAATTTGATAGAGAAATGCCCAACAATTATCTGCACTAAATTAGAATTCTTATCTTCATCTTAGAAAGCCATCTAGCCTCGGCCAGACTCAACTGTTTTTCTTTGTGGTGATATGCTACAATCTTCCAACCTAGTGTGAAAGAAAAAGGAACTAGTGACGGAGAGTGATATAGGTGGTGGGTGACGGAGATTACCGCGTGGCATGTGATGGGAGAAGGGGGAAACAAAGGTTAAATTTCCATAACACAAAATCACCAGTTATATCATCAGCAGCATCAGCCATTTTTTTTCTTGCTTAAAATTGGAATTAAGATGAAGTTTTCTGAGATCAGAAGAAGGAAGGGAGGTTTCAGCCGCAAATAAGTAAAATCTGTGTGGGAGCCCAGAAGAAAGAATATAACTTGGGTCATGAAACAAGTTTGGTCAATGGTGGCGGCATTTAGTTGTTTAAAAATTTCATTATTTTTCGTTGTAGGAATTAAAAAAACAAACCAAAGTGATTTCAAATCATATATATATATATATATATATATATATAAAATAAAGTCATATCCTCATTCTTATCCCTTCATATTTTCTCTTTTCTACGTGGCTTAACGAGACGACAAGTAGTTTTCTAATAGGATTCATAGTAAATTTTATTGTTAATTGCGTTATCAAGACATAGTGCATAACACGAAATTTATGGAAAAGAAAAAATTTCAATCATATATATATAATAAAATCGTATTCTCATCCTTATCCTTTTAGTTTATCTCTTTCCTACGTGGCTTATTGACATAGCAAGTAGGTGCAACGCGCTCTATGAGTTAACCCCCTAATAACCTACGCTATTCTATCCCTCTTTTTACTCTTGCCTTTACAATTATAGATAATTCTTCCATAATTAACTCTTCCATTCTCTCACCTTTTTTTTTTCTTAACCTTAATCGTCAAGCCTAAATTTCTTGGGGATTAGTATAAATAATTTTGAATTATGTTTTTAACTCTCTCTCATCTTCAACTGAAAAGTTCGAAATATCAATTCAAATATTAGATTATCTTTATCAGATTATCGCTATCGAAGATGCTCTACATTTTAACTTATATATATGGTTATTGATCTATTACTCATCACTTTATCAAGCAGTGCAGATGTTTACACTTTTCCACAATGTTTTTGGAAAGTTTTTTTTTTTTTACTTCAATGCAAGGACCGGATTCGGAATTTCGTTTTTATTCCCTTCAATGCAAGAACTGCATTTGGACTTTGTTTATACTCGTTGTATTTGGTTTGTAATTTCCTACACCTTCTTCATAGCTAGGTCATTGAATTTGAATTTTCTAAATCTTTAAAAGTTACAATTTAGTTTTTATTTCTGGTAAGGTTTTTGTAATTAAGTTGTTATTTCAATTTATGGATTCACTCTTCAATTCAAGTAGAACGCATATTGCTTTTTTGGTTAGTGATTTAAAAGTGGCCTTTTGAACTATGTGTTTTCACACGATTTTTTAATTGCCTTTGACAATTTATTAATTATCTTCAACAACATATTAATTTTTTTTTATTTTCTAGGTTTCTGGGGTTAAAAAAATTTTGTCCAGTTTTTAATGTTTTCTTTTAGACTTTGGTAGAAAGTTTTTAAAGAACAAGAAGGTGTCACTGATTACATAAATGGCAAGACTATTTAGATTGTCATACAGCAGTTCACGTCATGCAATATACATCAGACTATGTAGATTTTTTATGTTTTTTGACTTAATAGCAAAATACATCTTATGTTTTCATTTTGGTTTCTATTAGCCATGAACAGATTTAGAAGGTTGTTGTGTTCCTATGACTTGATTGATTCTGAATTCTTATCTTTTATTAATATTTCATTCGGCTTCTTTTCTTTTCACATTAACCTTTAAGCCATTTATATTAAGTACCAAAATTGATGTTTTGGTAACGGGTTGGCCATTCTTTTGTTTATAGAAGATCAGCCAAGATTTGATCTTCCCTATTTTCAAGTCACTACAACAAAAATGCCCTTTAGCGGCATTTAAAGGTGTCAGTATAGATAATCTAAGCTGACATTTTATCTTTCCTCACACCTGGGACGAGTGTTGTCCCTTCCAATGTGGGGATAGCCTCGTAGCATTAAAATGTGTCAGGAAAACTATGTTGTTATAGCATCTCATCTACCAACAAAAATATTTTTCTTGATAATTGAAAGTGTCAAGATAGCTATTCTACCACATTAGAATATTGCTTTAGAAGCTACGCTATGCTAACACTTTTAATTGCTAGGAATACATAGGTAAAGAGAAATTAATCACACCATATAATAACACCGAGATCCAATGTAGAACAACAAATAATCCTTCACTTCATTCATGCCACAATTATGTCAGATATACAAGTCTTTGAACTTTCCATTGAAACTCTAAGTTCTTTCAGAAGAAAAGAAACTATACTAATCTACTAACTTCGCTATAGATGCCATTCCGTACCTATAAAAAAATCAAACAACTAAAAGGAGGACCACCATTGCCTGAATTCAATGACATAACAATTCAAAAAAAAAAAGGAAAAAAAAGTTGATATTTAACTCCATGGGTCATCCCATCCCTTGGGGCCCTCTCTTTTGACAAAGTTTAACATTGCCTGGACAGCTTCCTGAACTCTGTTGGATAGGGCATGGTTTCCCCATTCAATTTCAACCTTTCTACACCACCCATTGCTCTGCACAGATTCAGGAGCTTCAAGTGAACAGAAATTTTTTTCTTCCCAAAGATGGTTTTGCATTGACACCTTACCAATCAACTCTTCACCAAGGCATAACCTAGCATCAGACATGACAGAAGAATCACGGTAAGGGCTTCCAGAGAATACCCACCTTCTAATCTTCTTGATGAATTCCACAATCGGGCCATGTGCATTGTATCAGCATGGAAACCATCAAGTTTAAGTCCATAATTCTCTATAACATGGTTATCAAAGCTATAGTTGTGCCACACCTACAAAAAAACAAGCCAGTGCAGTTCCCCACATGGCATATAATCATTCGAAGAACTGATGAGCAACAAAGAGCCCCACATAGAATTACATACAAAAAATCTTTACCTTTTTAATTGACGGGTCTTCAAAAAAAGGAGCAAATTCAGCCAAAAGATTCCTCCCGTCCTCATCAAGAAGATCTACCCAGATACAAGACTTGCCATTTCCAAAATTCGCTTCCGGTCCACAATAAATACTGCAGCATACAATTTCTCCATGATCAACTGGTGTTTCCTGCTTAACATCAATCTTTGATACCTAGACATTAGCAGAAACCAGTAAAATGAGCTCCCAAAAAAAAATTGAATGCTACTGGAGAGAACATGAATATTAAGCGAATAAGATAATTAAAGTACAGAATTCAACTGGTTGTATGCAAATGTAAAATAGTCTAAAAGCAAGTCAAATGAAAAACATACTTCCGTGTCACATGCATGGACCATATGCCTGTATTGATTTGTGAGCATACCAACTACTTCCTTTGCAGCAGAGACAGTATCAACCACAAGAACCTTGTCATAAATGCAACCAAGCCTCTCATGAAGATTTGACTGGATAATAGCTTCTGGTTCCACAGATCCTTTTCCTGTGGGGGTTCCATTTATTTTGTCAACACCAACAGACTTTTCAGCAGCAGCCTCCCTTTTTGTTACATTATGAGCACTGCCTTTATCAATTGAGGGATACTTTTCTTTCTGTTCTTCGAATAATTTTGGCAGGGAAATTTTAGGTTGGGAAGACTTTGGAAGTAACTGCATTGTCCTCGGAGAGATTTTCCAGTGTATATCTGCTTGTTGGCTATTTGATGTATAAGACTGTCTGCTACTTGAAAAGTTGTCCTTCATCTCACGATCTGGTGCAATTGTATTCACACTTACGATATTCGGTAGGCTAAGGTTTCCTGAAGAACAAGCTGAATCATGAACATTTCTGAACGAGAGAGGTGAATTACTAGTAGATGGACAAGATAAGTCATTATCAGTGCTTTGTTGTCTAAATTTGTGATCACTTCCATCTGTCAAACTAGGCAAACTAGAAGTCCGTTCAGCACAATAAGCTTCCTTTCTTCTCTTATAGTATTGAGTCACGTCACCCCAGGATTTGTAAGTAGGCCTCTGATAGTCATGCACAAACACATGACTCCTACTTGATATCTTCACAACGGAATGATCAGAAGCAGGGCCATTTGAGACATTTGAGAAGGATACGTAGCCAGAATGGGTTTTGCAATATTCTGGCCTGAGAGTCACGGTGTCATGAAAGCCCAAAGCCAACAAAATACTCAAATAAAATAAATGAAAATACATTATTTTGTCACACAAATTGAACTCATGACAAGTACAAACATTTGCATTATCAACTATTTATCCTATGTTTAATGAATTTGTACAAATCTCAATAGCATTACAGCTCTCTCTGACATATGGTGCTATGGAACAGATATTCTTACAGCAGAACAGAAAAGCAGTTTTCAAGTGAACAAAAGTGCAGAACAGAAAAGTGAACAGATATCCTTACATGTTCATTTCTGACTATGTAAACCCAAATCACCAAATGACAAAAAATAATTACCCAAAAAGAACTCAAAATCAGACAAAAGTAAACAAAAGAAAATTTTCAAAAATTAGAGAAAAATAGAAAAATAATAGAGAATAATACCTTAAGATACTTAAGCTTCAAATTTCCATAGACGACTCCAAACGTGAAGGCTGAAGCACGAGCCACCTGCCACCAGTTATACGAAAACGAAAAAAAAATCCAAATTAGATCAGACATCAATGAAATTGTGAGAAATTAAAGCTGGCGGAGGTGGATGGTTAACCAAGGCGAGAGTGCTGGTGCTGGAGTAGGGTCCAGGAGGAGGCGACATTTGCTGCTGATCGCTGAAATCGAAGAAAGAATAACTGCAGATGCTGCGAATACTGCCCCAAATCTAAGGTCTCTCTCAGACTCAGAGCCCTAATTTTCGTCGGACACCAGTTTGGAAATTAGAAATGTTGGGGAGATGGGCAAGGGCTTCCCTTAGCTCCTGCATTATTCAGTAAGGAAAAAGGCCCAAAAAGGTAACTCTTTTTGCAGGAAACCACCAACCAAATTTACATATAGAAAAATTGCAGAGTATAACCTGTTCATCGACGACATCGATATCTGCGAGCATGCGGCTGGATTTCTTACCGGAATTGCCTAATTCGTTTGCTAAGAAATAATTTCTGGAGAATCCGAACTCGTCCTTTTCGATGTCATGTTGTTCCATTTTCTGGTTTTGACGAACCTAAACCTGATGATGAGAGGGAAGGAGTAGGGGCAACGGGACGGCGGAGGTAGGGAGCAGAGGAGAGGAGAGTGGCCGAGAGAGGCGGAGGGCAAAAATTTAGGCAACCGAGAGAAATCAATTTAGGGCAAAAATTTATCATGCAATTACATCCCTTCAATGGGAAAGCAAGGGTAGTTTGATTGCGGAGAGATTCAACAGAAAAGACTCTGCGGGAAAGCAAAATTTTGGCCAAGAGTTTTGAGAGATAGTTTGCCGAGAGAGAGAGTTTCTGCGAGAGATAGAGAAGAAGCAAAATTTCACTAGGAGGCAAAATGAAATTTTGAGATTTCACTAAGTGTTTTGGCAAAAGGATCTTCCACCAAAATCAAATGACGTCGTTTTGTGTTTTAATTTTTTTTTGGTGTATCTCACATTTCCGCAAGTGTCATAATAGGGAGTCTAGAGGTACATTATTATTTTTATGTCAAATAAAATAAAAAAAATTAGAGTATATATTATTGAGTTGATAACTAGTGTCATGATAGAAGTGTTATAATGGCACAAACCAGCAAGTGTCCTTATAAACATGTCAGAAAAGACCATTTTTGTTGTAGTGAGTTTTTGAATGTCATCATATTGTCGATTTTTTTTTTTGCATTTTTGAATTTATTAATCACTGAATTAGATGTTTAAATTTACATTATAAGACTATTTTTGAATAACAATGTATTTAAGAAAGACAATAATAGATTATACAATAAGTTTGTATTTTATGCAAATATTTTTATGAACTACACTAAATAATTTATTATTTTTAGACAATTCTCATTCAACGAATGGGTACAAAACTAGTTATATCAGTAGGTAGGACTTGTTTTAAGTATTGCTAGGTTAATAAACCTAACAAGTGTGATTAAGCTCTCTAGTTTAATTTAATCACACCAAATCATGATCACTTATTGACGTTTTTACGTGATTGGACGGCCGACTAATTCTCTTTTCTGTTTTCTTATATTAATCTGTTATCTACCCAAAAAAGCATCATCTCGATAAGTAATTAAATAGAGCAATTTGGTTTGCTTCTAACAATTTTCGTCAAACAGATAAACTTTGATTTGAATTCTTACTTATCCTTGATTATCAGCATCTAATAGCTTGTTTGCGATGGCTTCCCAGTTTAAAGTAGTGCTTATTGGGACACTTAACTGCCTCAAAGTGTACAAGTGTAGTTCTTGGAAGTCTTCTTACTAGAATATTTTTCTAACCAATAGACAAAGTGGCTAAGGAAATGTGGAGCCAATTTTGGTCATCTTGCTACCATGCCTGGTTCCCACATGAGTGTTGGTTTTGGTTGAGGGAAAGACAGGCAAAAGTCTGAGGCTTTTTTCCCTTTTTCTTTTTTTGGAATGAAATAATTATATGATGTGCTGTTGGTCAATACTCAATAAGATAATTGCAATTTTTAGTGGATGCATGTGTGTTGGTTTGTGTCTAATATATTTGTGTGTTGAATACAAAGTTATTAAATGGGAGAAATGATGGTAGTTGTTGGCTCTTGGTTCAAGAAAATGGATTAATACAAAGTTATTTTTTGGTTGTTCGATCTTGTTTTGTATTTTAATGTTATTGTTTTTTTTTTTTTTTTTTTATAAACGGTTACTTTATTTCATAAAAAGGAGGGCATACATCTCAAGCAAACTAGAAAACACAAGCGGTATTTTAATGTTAATTGTTTATTATTAAATGCCCTGTGTTTTTTTTTTTTGTTATTGAAAGCCGGCAACAAATGTTTATCCTTTTCATTAAATTACCTACTACAAAAAAATTGATTTCTGCGTGAGACATATTTCTCATTTCATTCATAAATCTTTGAATAAATATTTATGCTTCCATTAAATTATTTTGTATTTATTATTAAAAGCCATTAATAAATGTTTATCCTTTTCGTTAAATTACCTATTACAAGGAATTAACCCTTGTGTGGGATGCGTAATTAATTTGTCCTTTGATTCTGAATAAATGTTTATGCTCATCGTTAAATTATATTATATTGTAGAAGGAATTAATGTATACATTAAAAAATAAGTTATTGTTTATATTATCTTATTATATTATTAAATGTCCTGTGCTTATTAGGATAAAATGTTTATTGTTGTGATTAATTTATTTGGTATAAACAATTAGTTTGTTTTTGGTGTAGTTTGTATTATTCTTATTATTAAATGGGTGTTATTTTTTGTGTAAAATGTTTATCCTTCTAATTAAATTACTTCATACAAACAATTAGCTTGTTTTTGGTGTAAAGAATTAATATTTTCCTTTCAAAATTAATTAATTTGTATTTTATATCATTTTCATTGAATGTGCTATCATTTTCATTATTAAATTAGTAAATTATTTTTCCTTATTTTCATTAAAAAAATAGTATGATGGTTATTATTATAATCTTTAATTAATAATTATTTTCCCTATTAAATTATTGGGTCTAAACAAATTATTACTAGCTTTGAATTATCTTTTTTTAGCTGGAGAAAATATTAAAGAAGGGCGTTAATGTCATTTTCGTTTGGAGCAAGAGTGCCCCGCCTTTTCTTTTAGGAGCTTTCACTTTATGCTAACTGTTTCTTAAATACAATGGCCATCATGATCGTGCACATTCCAGCTCCTATTCTTAATAAACTATAATTTTTCAATAATTTTTCACATTAATTAAATACAATTCTTTTAAATATCAATGCAATTTCCACAATTCTTCTTTTTTTTTTGACTTTTTTCAGTCAAAATGTTTCTATCCTTACATTCTCCATCATATGATTTCATATTTTGATCATTCTTTACCAAATACTTTACTAGAAATCTATTCTATGTAATTTAAATACTTGTGAATTTGAACACACCATATTCACTATATATATCCAATATAAATCGAAATTACATTCCCAATAAATAATCCTCTTTTCAAACTTCCAAAATTTCCCTGAATAATATTTAATCCAGAAAAACAAACACGCACGTATACATCCAAACCCATTGCTAACATAATGAAACATAATCTTGAATACTATAACATATGCAAAACCGTGCAGGTCAAATATTCCTGGAATCTTGATGTTTAAAATGCAGATCTAAGAAGACTTTATAATGTTTAGGGCAATGCAAGAAACAGATTAGGCGTCTCTAGAATTTCAAACTATGTTACTGACAAAGACAGATGAGTAATCAAACAGAAAAGCTTTGAGTTCAATTAGTACTAAATTTTATCACGAATGTCTGCACCTAACAGCTGGAGGTTTGATCATCTTCCATGTTATTGATCTAGCTTTAAGTGTGCTGTTGGAAGTGTTCGCAGAACATACTTTATCCTAAACTGACCCTCTTGTAACCCAATCTCTGTAATGCTGTAAGTGTAATTTGTATTCATGTAGCAATTAGTGTTAGGCAAGGCCTCGAACGAGTCAAAAAATGGAGCATTAAAATTTGCTTTGGCTTCCTTTCTTGTAGGGGAAACACGGGGAAGAGATGTACAAGAGGAAGGTTTTGGAGTAGTTTTCTAGAAGAGCACTTGTTCCTACAACGCTGCACAAGGAACCATTGACACCAGAACCATTATTAGTATAAAATGGCATAGAAATTTTGTAGAGGGGATAAATTTATACACCATGATTCACTTGAGCTGTTGCTAAAACGAATTTGGTCTAGATTATTGTGCAAACCATCAAGAGACAAGTGTTAGAAGGTGGTTTGCCCCGATTGTAAATATAATGTTGATATGTTATTTTACAGTAGAACATATTTTTTCCTTCGTTCTCCCCTTCCCCTGTGGTAGTTCCTGACAACAAAGGCACCAATAGAAAGGTATTTCAATTTATAGACTTGTTTTAAAAGGTTAATTTTGACTCATGGGCAAAAAGAAGGGAAAATTGAGGAAGAAATGCAATAACTGTAACAAGTCAATAATATTACATATGGTTCAGTCTACATTAATTTCAAGATGTTATCATTGTCTTTAATCTTCTTATCTTCTCTTCTTAACTTTTGGTTTTTCCAGTCTGTTGAATCAAATCTCTACAAAAACTCCCACCAGTTTAATCTAAACCGTCCAAAGGGTGGTGGTTATCACCAATGCATTAACCCTTACCTCCCACCAATTTGTCAAATTAAAGTGCCTTTACTTAAAAAATCCAGGCGGATGCATAGTGCATCCGTTTGGTCCAGTAGCGGTTCAATCTCTTTCGGGTTACTCTTGGATCTCTTGAGGTCCTCCCTCTCCTCCTTAGTTTAGGATAATTTATCGTATCGACAAAAAAAAAAGTAATCTAAATGGGCTCTTATATTGAGCTCAAATCAGTATACTAATACGACATCTAGATTCTATTAGTTGCATGGGCCCTCCATCCCCAATTGGAGAAGCTTGGTTCGGCCTCAGATAGCCCAAAATGCATTGTCTTTTATCACATGTGGATACTGTTGAATGGCTCGTTTTAACTGTGTAGAAACCTATATTAAAGAGAGTTAAATTACACTTACCTCTTGTAAGATTCAATATAATTATTAAAATTTCTTATCTAGTTTCTATAATTACCCTCTCTCCTCTCTCCACAACTAGGGTAGCCACAGTTCATATTTAAATCAGGTCCAGAGATTTATTGAATCGAAACCGGAACTACAACTATGACTAAAAATTCAGGTTCAGGTTTATTAAAAACATGATTCAGAATCAAAACCAGCGGTTTGTAACCAATTCAAACAGTCCAAAAAAAATACTTGCTATTTAAATTTATTTGGCTAGTTTAGAGTTCAATATCAATAGGCATCACCCAATACCAGCAGACTCAATCCCATCTGAGTAATCCATTGTCTCATCTCATTAGTAAGTCTAAATCCCACAACTAATCTAAATAGGAGATCAATCCAATCTAATCAATAATGAGGTATTCTTTAAAAAATTTGCATCATTTTTCTTTTTTCTTACACATGATAATACAATAAAAGCTATTTGTTTTTTTACATTCATTGTGATATTTTCTTAGAATCAATTTTATAATAATAAGTGTTTAAGTATAACTGAAAAAATTGGAATTGTAATGAAAAAAAAGAACGGTAATTGGAGCAAAGTCAGAACCTAAACCACAGGTTCAAGAATCGTAATCATAATCATAACCATTCCTACAAGGGCAGGTTCTGGTTCCACTAATGTAGACAACTTTGTTCAATGCTCTTGGATCATCAACAGTTTTGATGGTGAAGGTACCAATGTCATGTTCTTCATTAAAAACAGCTACAATCTAAACGTTAAAAAAAAAAAAAAATTTTTAGGCACCGGTACAATATTCACCTTCTTACGGAATAAGTTTAGCAGAGGATAAGAACATGATCAGGTGAAGTAGGTGAAAAAGAATAAAATAACCAAGTGATATTGCATGCCTTACCTTTAGCATTTCCATCTCCCAAGATGGCTCCTGGCTGCAACAAGGTTGGAAGAAAATATCCAGCAAAAGCGTTAGATGAGAGACAAGTGTAAGGGATCCCTGCTGCCTCAGTAGCTCTACGAAGCTGAGACTTTCCTGCAAATGCAGACTTGGCAGGCTCTACTGCATTTTGGCGATCCACATCAACTCCAAACTCCGAAGGGTAGAATTTCTGAGAATTTTACCATATCATGTGTCAGAATTTGGAAATGATAGTAGATAAAAACTGACACAAATTATACTCTATTAAATTTCATTCCAATCAGCAATCTTTTCCTCAAATTCACAGATTGTCAAGATCACAATGGATTTTAAAATGACTAAAAGAATCTCAATTAGCTCTGCCCAATAGATAGGCTTAAAATCGACTGAAATTTCAATTATGCAAATTGCCAATTAATCTTAGTTGCTTCTCGGCTCTGAAAATGGGGAAGTATTATATACATGATTCACATGTATCATCAAGCTCTACAAACGACACATACAACCTTTAAATACATGAATTTCGTGTGCATTATCAAAATTTACTATATTTCGACAATTAAAAACCTTTAATGATCTAAATTGCAGAGCTACAGATCTGCAACAGAAGAAAAACAACAAACGTATTCAAATACATTCCCCTGTGAGAATCATTAGTAACAAGACCACATAAACAACACACCTTGACATTTCCAGCTTCTTTAATTGCATCAATGATCTTCCTCTGATCATTCAATTGTCCGTTACCAACAGTTAAGATGACCACATCCACCTGTTTTATGGCCTTCACTAAACTTTCATGATCATACAAGTCACCCTGCTCCAAGGAAGAATTCGAATATCAAGAACAAAAATAAGCATCACCAGCTCAAAGGGAAAAAAAAGGAATCCCGATTTACAGAACTGTCAAATTAATTGAAAAATTAACGCTGCTTACATGAACAAGAGTCGCCCCAGAGTTCTTGAAGCCTTCAACAAATTTTCCCTTAACAGGATCAGAAACTGTAGATTCTCTAACCAGCACAAAGGTGGGATGGCCAGCCTTAGTGCTGGCCTCAACTATAAACTCGCCAATGTATCCTGTTCCACCAATGATCAAAATCTTGCTTTTTTCTGGCATTCTTGAATATTCTGAGATATCTAAAAATGAAGGGTTACGGAGAGTGTTTTAAACTGATGCGGAGCAACAGGGAAAGAATGAAGTCTGGGGACGAGGGCATGCTGAGGAACTCTCTTTAAGCAATTTGAGGTTAGCTTGGATGTTACTAAAGAGACATTTCACGTCACTCACTCAAGCAAAAGGAATCTATTAAATTGAGTTGCATTTGATCGATGATAAAGGTTTGGTACATGATAGAGCAATTATTGGGCTCATTTTGTGCTGTTATTCTGTGCTAAGTATTGAGATTTTGTTCATATTTGATGTTTATGTAAATTGTAGGTGATCGGTATCAAAAGTGATCTCCCGAGACAAATTTTCAGAAGACTCTTTATTTTATGACATGTTCACGCCAGAAGCTGAAGGAAGGCATTTAAAAGACCGACCATGGTTGTTAAAATCGCGATCCGGATCGTAGGATCGTACGATCCTACGATCCAGAAAATCAAAATCGATCCAGATCGCATTAGAATCGTAAATTTCATTAATCTATGTAGAATCGAGGTAGGATCGGTAGGATCGTGTAGGATCGTACGATCCTACCTCGATCCTACAAATTTTCCCTAATTTGTGAAATTGATACTCCATTTTGCAACTAAATCAAAACATTTGGGGTGGGCTTGTAATTTATCAAAGGATTGCAGCCCTTAGTTGCAATGTTTTAACATTTTTGACCACATGGACTCAAAAAGCTCCGTCAAAACTCAAAAAAGCTTCGGTACTCTTCATCTTCTCAAGCAATCCTTTTCCTTTCTCCTTTGTCGTTTCTCTTTGCTACGGTCCTGCCCAAATCCCTAAATTAAAGCTTCAATCTCTAGCCTCCAGCACCGCCACCCTAAATTAAAGCTTCAATCTCTGTCGCCGTTGCCATGGCTTCGACGGCCAACAGCACTTCGTTGTCCTCCGAGGACCCGAGCAAGAAGGTCCGAAAACCCTACACCATTACCAAGTGAAGGGAGAGCTGGACAGAACCCGAGCACAAGTCGTTCCTCGAAGCACTCCAATTGTGAGTCTCGCTTCACTTTCAAATTTATTGCATCTGTTGTTGAATTATCGCCTTTGGAGTTCTTCAATTTTGGGTTTTGACGGGACTGTTCACAAATGGGTAATGTCTCGCGACGATTGAATTGGAAATTTGAATGAGTTCCCTAGGTTATAATTGTTTAGTTTGAAGTTGAATTGTAGTTTGTGACTGCCAGTCTTTAATTCTATAGTAATCAGTAGAAGGTCCTTCATATACTAGATTATGTACATGTAGTTCATCCTTGTTTCATTAGCTAATTTTGTCACAATTTAGCTGGATATTAGGGGCATCCCTCGTTATTTAATAATTACTTACATGCTTCAATACGTATAACTTGTTAATTGTTTACTTGTTTGTATGATATGTAGGTTTGACCGTGATTGGAAAAAGATTGAAGCATTTGTTGGATCGAAGAATTGGGATGGTGAAGATGATTGGAAAAATAATGATTTTGATAATGTGAATTATGGGGATACTGAATTTGATGAAAATGATGACAATGATTATAAATTAATGTATTTATGAATTATTACGATACTTGAAAACGATGAATTGTTACTATTTTATTTTTATTTTTTCATGTTTGTTTAAACTTGACAGATGACATTTTAGTAGTTAATTTTGATTTTGAAAATCGTTTTAGATGTTTGGCTTTTTAGTATTTGTGAAGGTTGATGATTATTTTATATTTGAAATTATAATTGTGTAAATTGTGAAGCATTTGGTTTTAAGACTTGAAATTATGACAGATGACAGGTTTATATTCTCTTTTTTATTACTTGTCAGATATTAAGTAAAAAATGTTATATATTTATGAGTAACTTATTTATTTGATATCTTTTAGGATGTACAAAATGATATATGAATTTTAATTTCATTAATTTGGTAAATTTAGGAGCTTTTGGTGGGATCTTACGATCCTACGATTCGATTCTACGATCCGATTCTGTGAAACTAAAATCGATTCCACGTAGAATCCCGATTTTACAAACCTTGAGACCGACCCGCAGGATTGGTAAAGGAACAAAAGAACTGGGATGCGGCTACTCTCATGTGGGCCGAAAAGGAGGTAGGGCCCAAGGAGCATTAATCCTAAAAGCTTTTGAGCTTTGACGTTTTCCTAAGGAAAGAAGGGCTGAGGCCAATAGAAAAAAAAGCCAGAATCACGTGTGATAGATTAGCTAGCTTTTAGTTTCTTTTCCCCGGCTGTCAGACGCACTTTGTTTACTTTTGCTCTGGTTCTGTACAATTTTAGGGTAGCTTTCGTTTTGCTACCCCTGGAAGACGATTTGGCTCTCTGCTTTTGTTTTGTACGACTTCCATCAGACCTTTATCTTTACCTTTCTTTTGCTCCGGTACGAACACGAAACCCAGAGATAAGAAAAACTTTTCGTTTGTCTCCTCGTTCTCTCTTCTTTCCCAACTTGTTGGTAATTAATTGAATGATTTCAATTAAATCATGCGAGATTGATATGATGAGGAGCGGCTAAGTTTCTCCTCTACCCAAAAGGTCGACGCGAAGGCACGGTTCATAACATCTGTGAGATCTAACCGAATTTTCATTATTTCTTCCAATTCGTTACTATTCGTGCGTTTCTTGGATTAATTGTTCATGGATATTTTATTAATTGAGTATCAACGGCCGGATATTTAATTTAATTTAATAGCCTACTGTAACGTTAATTAAATTGAATCCGTAATTGTTCGTTTAGTTGACAACTAGTGACAACCACCATAATTGGCTTTGTGTTGAAGAAACGTAAGATCTAGTTTAAATAAACCCTCTTAGCACGTTTATTGGTTAGGATTGAGTTTTTCTAGTTTTAATACAACTGGATAATTAAATTCCTACGGTCGTACCTAGGGTTATTTTCTGGTTAGAAAAGTAGTCAACGGTCGTACCTTGACTGTCGAAAAAGTAAGGAAGAATTGGCTGTCAGAGCTTATTGATAGCTATAACCAACCTAGTGACGAATGAATGAAATATCTTTGCATCGATAATCATTTAATTGGACCGTACCTGAAAAGTTGATCCTTTGGGTAGAATTTTATTAATTGCTATTTTTAGTAAATTGAACTTGTTGAGTTAGCTTTTGAATTTTGTTTATTTTATTTTCATCTTCATTCCATTAAATATCCCCCAATTTTGTTTTATTGACTTGGAAAGAAACAACTTCTTATCCGTTCCCTGTGGAATCAACCCTACTTACCATTGTATGCAAATTTAATACTTTTATAAACAATTCTAGTATATCGGATCAAGTAAACTCTTCGGGAATAGAGTGAATCAAGTAACTCATAGCACACCTAGGGTTCCTGCTCCAGTATTTGGATTTGTTCTATAATTAATTGTGGTAGTAATTAGGACTTTTTAGAAATTATTATTGTACATGCTCGACACCTGTCAGTACATCATCTAAGTGACCAATGAAAATAGGACTAACTTCACTCCATAACTTCCAACTCGTACCACTTTCTTGCTTTGCATTTTAAAATTTAATTTTGGACACATTGCATACTTTTGTATTCAAAACTCTTAAGTTTGTCCTATTTATATCCAATAAATGATAAAGTTAGCAAAATTAACAAGATAAAGGGCACTGTAAATTAACAATTATAACTCTATCTTTATTTATACAAATTTTCAAAATATGAACACTTGAACTCCATCTTAAAGAGGGAAGCATGGATTGGATAGTACAAGAAAAGAGAGTATAAATAACAGGTTCCGAATTCAAAACCTCACACTTACATTTAAAAGAAAAGAAAAAAATTCATATTGTTTGGGTTTTTGGGGGGGGTCTTGAGTTGGCTTCTAAATTAGAAGGGGTGCAAGTAGATACTTCTAGGTTCAAGACCTCATGCTTTTTCTTTTTTTTCTTTTTTAAAAAAAAACTCCATCTTAAAACTTCACCACGGTAGGAACAAATAAAAATAGAATGAAACTAAGAATTACCCTCCAAAATATTCATTTTTTGTTTCCACACCTCCTTTTGGGGTGAAGAATTTACATGAAACATTATTTAAGTGTCTTTATCAAATTAGTGCTCTTCGCCCAAAAATAGAATCCATTTGCAGAGATTTGGTTTGGTTTTGTTACTTGAAAACAATATGGGGAGGTGAGAGAAGAAGCGAGCCAGGACTAGATTCAACTTATAAATGAATGGAGCCAGCAATGGTGGTCAAACACATCAACGCTAATGAATCAAAAACAAATACTAATACCAATGGTAAATGTTAAAGACCGGCACCCCGAAAGAGTCGTGACCTGAATTGACAAGAAAATCTTACCAAACATTGTTCAGTTTTCAGTCTTCACGCACTATTTATCGCATGAAATTTCTAGATTCCTTCTAGAAAGTCATCTCCCGAACACTTGAAGAAGACAAAAAGGCGTTCGGTAAAACTGAAAAATACTGTAAAATCTAAAAATCTGAACACTAAGAAATTTAAATACTAAAATATTATTTTTGGTAAATCTATTAAGGGATACATGTTTCATAATCAGTTGAACTTGAATATCGAATTGCATGTATACCATATAACTTTGGTACTAATACAGGTTAGTAAATGAGGCGAGTCGAATTGATTGTTTGACTTTTGAACTTGTGATCTAACAAGTGGGAAATAATGGATCCTATAACCTATTATTTCCTTGATGTTGGATGTGCCACTTATAAAGAAATTCTTTGCTTGGTTTTGAGTCTAAAATTACATCAAAGATGACTCATAAAGAAATCTTGAGTCTAAACTCGAAATCAAGTTTGACTCTATCAACACATGAACTAAGCTTAAATAAGCCGGAGCTTTAAAAAACTCAAGTGAATTTGAAAATCCTATAGAAATTTGTGACCCAGCAAATTTAACCAATTTAATCAACTTACTAAATAAAAATAATTCCACAAAATATAAGAAGGTGCACCAAATACTTTTCACAAAACAATGTTTAAACAATCAAGATAAGTTAAATATACATAATCATTAAGAAAAAT